AGCGAGCACCTATGAAAGCTGGCACGGCACATGAGGGTGTGGGTGGCCAGCACCACGCCCGACCACCTTTATCTCCCTCGTGGCGATGTTTACACATCGCACCAGGTACTCATTTAAGGCTGAGTCGACCTAGGGGAGGCCCAGAACGAGTTCGGATAATCGTCACTGGTGTTGGCCGCGAACAGGAATCGAAATTGGGTGGCCAGGTTTGTGGCGCAGCGTGCGAACCGCTACACTGCCGATGCAAGACCCTCCTATAAAAGTGTCTTGAGACTCAGTAAAGCCTTTCTGTAAAGATAAAAAAATGACTTTACTGGAATGATTATAAACTGCAATGCAATATTCATGGTGTAGATTGGTCGGTATACATTAAGGCATGTAGATGTGGCCACAGGTCTCAGAGTCTGGGGCCATTAAGCTGAAAGGATGATGCGTGTTAAGTGCATTGCAGATACATCTGCATCAATGCGTGCATGCATTTTGTCCATGCCTCTCCACACCGTACATGTCATGGAGAATATCTGACCATACTTTACCACGCTGGTCAGTGCGGGTTGGTGAAGGCGGGGAGCATAGTTGTTGCAGCATGGTACAGTACAATCGATTTCTTTGAACAACTCAATACGAGACATGTTTTATGCATGGTGGTCACCCAACCAAGCACTAAGATTGAGCACATTCTAAATAATTTGGTCAAAGACAAAGTTGCTATTAGCTAACTCAATTCAAGAAATGTGTTCAATATTATCCATTATATCATTCATGCTATGGGCCTATGGGACTGCTTCCCAAATGTGATTTTAAAACACCGTAAACATAAGGATACATCATTTATTATATATGTATCACATTCACGTGTATAAAGTCAAATGAAATTAACAAAGGTGCAAGTGTCTCAATGCTCAACTATGTGTGTAGTGCTGCTCATATGAACAAGGCAGTGCAATAAAATCCACATTCGTTTTAGGGGAGAGGTGCAGTCTTTTGATAATACACGGCTATTGAGTTATCACAAAGCAGTGATGCCAGTGAGGTTGGAGAGTGACGCAATAACAAACATGACAAGAACCCAATTTACCGTGGAATGCTCCTATGTGCTGCGTGATACCGCCCTCTTCCCCAGCTGCCACCTGCGTGTGGCGCAAGCTGTCGAGCAGCGTGGTCTTGCCGTGGTCCACGTGGCCCATGATAGTGATGATGGGTGGGCGCGGCACCAGAGCTGAGGCATCTGCAGGAGGCCTGCGCAGCGGAACACACACAAGCGATGGGCAGATGCATGTATACATGACCCGTTTCATTTCATCCATATATCTTTCCTTGCATGACTCGATTCTGGAAATCCCTCCCATTGTCTCTATTATCAAGTTATAACCTTGCTGAATTAAAGAAACATGTAATGCTTATCCATTACACCTTAAAAAATGTATTTGCTGCTAGAGGCGTTTTTGGCCTTCACTCAGCAACCATGATTTAGTTAAAGTGTCCCAGCCCACATGTAAATGCCCTTTAAGATAAATGTACTGCAGATTCTTCAAGCAAGATGGTGTCTTGCTCAATTGAGTGTGAGGTGATACTCACCTCCTCGTTACAACTATGAGTCAGCCAGTGGTGGACATCCACATTCCTATGGCAGGGAATAGTATTGCCCAATAAAAAATCACTGACAAATTCGCCACAAAATGGAACTTATTGTTATCAACTTCTGCAAGCTAATTGGCTGAGATGACTCCCAACCAGAATTGTAAATGTCTGATTGAATGCTGTGTACTCCACAGCTGTAACTCCCAGCCAGATTCTACTATAATCCATGATATTTATAGGTTACTCCATCATTATGAGCCTTAGCAATAAGTCATCTGACTGAATGAACACCTCCCCATATCATCAGCATTATATAACATAATAGATAAATAAACATACAGGACATTTTTAGATATATATTTATTAAAACCATTACGTGACTTCCCAAAACGTGACAAAATAATCCTTATTTACCCTCTCTAATTAAGTGATATTTAACTTTGGAGTACCTTTTCACTGCATCTTTGTTTTCTCTTATCTTCTCAACCTTTATCTTCTCTGACATGTACTTCATACCAGACTTCTTGATTACATCTTTGATGACAGCCTCATTGAGAAACGTGCTCGGCTTCATGCGCTCAACATTCAGGTCATCTCTATGCAGCAGAGCTTCGTAAACATGGTCTGTTTGAAAATTCAAGTCGTTTAATTTCACTGTGACACATGACAATACACCTAAAAATACCACGAAGGTATATCAGTGCATTACAATGTTAGTTACACAAAAGCCAAGATGTTAAAGCACTCACCAATATCCTTGTTCATTGCTTTTGCGAGTTCAGACACCCTCATTTGCTGTCGAATCATCACAACTTGAGTCTCAGATTTCTTCTTTCGATTATCATGTTTGGCCACATTGATTTTGCTGATGTTTTCATTTGATTTCCATGCCTGTAATAAAAAAATGTTCACGGGTTGTTTTTCATATTTATTGTACCTACATTGAACATTCTGGCAGGTGTAGACCAAAATCAAACGACGCAAACTAAGTAAATGTAAAAATATCACACCTCAGTTGTTGCCTTATGTCGATAGCCACTTGGGAAGCAGGAAGGCTGTGGATGGGGTTGCATGCAGCACCAGGCAGGTGCTCTGTGTGCTTGGACCACCCCAGTTGTCCAGGCGCACTTAATCAATCTCGCTCGTACGTTCATTCTGCATAAACAACAGATTAAAATGTTTGCCTAACAAAATGGATGATCCAGAGTTATTGAATTGCATTGTTGAAATTGCTGCAGACATAGATGCAGGAAATGAGCCGAGGATGTTAGTAGCAGAGATGACGCTTGACTGGTGGCAATGCTTCATCTTGAATTGTTAAAATCACTCAATGAGGGTCATGATAAACCGAACGACCTGAGGTCCATATACAAACTGGACAGGCCCCCCCACGCCCCTGATCAATCTGAACTGATAGGGAACTATGGATAATGCCTGTAACCCACATAGTGCGGGATCTATGCTGTATCCATTATTTGTAATGTGTTCTCGTAGACATAAAGCATTTCACATGGAGAGGTGCCCCTATCCCCATGAAAATGTATCGCCTGGACAATGCCCTCGTAATATGCAAGTAGATAATTCTAATTCTGCAAGACACGTTCTGCGTATTACATTGAGATACCAGCTTGTAGACTAGACACCCACACTGTAGCAATATTAGCTTGTAGGCTAAGGACTAAAGAAAGATACAAAGACCGCATGATGACCAAGCCGCCACGCCACCCCCACCCTTTCACGTGACGGATGCTTCTTAAAATGTTTATACCGCCTCTGCGCGCTGGGAATGACATTGAACTTGGTGTAATTTAAGGATATAGCGTAGTATATTGTGGAGCTGTATACACGTGAACCCCATTTTCGTTAAATGGCATGTATAGTGCTCTATGAATTTAACAGCATTGCACTAAACTGGACAATGAATGTACATATTCTCTGGGTCTTTCGGTAAAGTCACGTAGATAGAAAAAATAATAACAATATGAAAATTAAGTGAATGAAAAATAATTTTAAAAATATCACGACATTTCGATCGCAACACAAGCAATCGTCATCAGGAGAAAAAATAGGGAGAAAGTTGCTATATAAAAGACCCAAAGAATATGAATTCCTGCAGTCACGAAAGCTTTAAGTCAGAATGAATGTACATTCACTGTTATGGTTGAAAAATATTGCAATGAACGTTATGCATTTTACATTATTGAATTGATCGTTCAAATAGTTTAAAAATAAACTACAGTGCATTATAATTGTAATTGGATATTACATATAACTTTTTTATATAGAAAATTGACTAAAGTAATAAAGCAAATCGCACAAAACTTGAAAACTGTATTTGTTGAAGCCTTTTCGCACCGTACGTAGCCAACCGTACTGAACTGCATGATCAGCTGATCATATCATGCAGTCACTGTATGATTGTATAGCAATGCGTGGTGAAATTAATACTGCATTGAACTCTATAATTTCATAATACGTGATGAAGGAACACTGCACAGAAGTTCATAATTGTACTATGGGTTGCGATTGGCTTCAGAGGACAATGCAATACGACAAAATTGTGTATAATAGTGGAACGTGATTGGTAACTGTATGGCTGGACAATACATATACAACAATGCAATAAGTTGCATAGCAATCAAATCACACTTGATTAAATGACCTCAACCTATGCATTTGCATCGTACAGTGCCGTGTTTATATACCACCGGACAGAATTATGTAACAAACATAGCTGATTTATCAAGCAGCACCGGAAGGTATCACTTCTTCGGGGACATTGCACTGAACTTCTTATACTTTGCATCGTCAGCCGTGCGCAATAACTTTGCTCTAAAGAGACGGGGGAGTCGAGTCGCGATTTCCCGCTCTCATTGACTCTGACTGACCCTCCCGCGTCTCCCATAGACTCGCGGCGTGGCTGTCACCTCTCAGCCTTTAAAGCAAAATAATAATAATTAAAAACACCGGCTTTGTAGCGCATTACCTCGGCGCGGAGTTCACTCGAATAAAGAGTTTATCTTTTTTTTAAGTTTGGGAACTTTTCAAAAATCTCAAATTTACTTCGCGAAGCACCGAGCCGCACTGGACGCCACCATCTTTAAAGTCCCGCGAGCCTCTGCGCAAGGAGGAGGAGGAGGAGGGGCCGGGCAACATTCACAAAGTTCCGTCGGGAAACAAAAACCCTGGCGCGATAAAACGTTCCGGTAGTGTCACGAGTCGGTTACAAAAAAACACACACACACAAATCACCAAAACGGGTCAGCTCGATTAAAATTACCACCCACGTCGTTTTCCGCCCGTGCAATATGTACACGACACGCTCACGGATGCGTCGATGTTATAGAGAAGTGAATGTTGTTGTTATTATTATTGTTGTCATTGCAACTGTGTGCGTGTGTTAAAGCCGGTGCCACACATGTAGACATCCGGGTCGAGTTGCCACCCACTGGGTTTGAGGCCACGTCAGAGCAACGCTAAGGGAAGTTGGTGGTGGTGGGGAGTCACTTTAATTGATTTCTATTAACCCATTCAACATTACATTTCCATTCGTTCGAAACAACAACGGTTACAGTTCACCGTTAACCAGACATATCCACCTAAATTTTTTTATTATAATAATCAACGCTTCAAGACTTGCTCGCCATGGCTTCCGAGAATCTGAGAAGGCAACTGGAGTCCTACCTACACAAGCTGGACATTGAATTCGACTGTGTTGAACACCCCGAGGTGACGGGATTGTGAGGGAGATTGTAACTTTGTTTTGTTCCACTGACGGCTGAAGAGTTTTCGGGCGCCTCGTTTCGTCAAATAGTTTCCTTAAACAAGTCGCGGCCACGTCACGCCGCGCGCTGTTAATTCGCTTAAGCTCACGCGCCAACTCGTTAACCAAGAGTGTCACGATTGTTTGTTGTTGCTGTTGTTGATCATGTTGTCTTCGCAACATCGTGTTGTTAAAGTGTGGCACGGCTGTTCGTTGCCACGTTGTTTTAGCGAAAAGAATTCGTCGTCGCGATCTTGGCAGATGGCTCCGTCGGATGAAGTGAATCACTTCACGATATTCTTTGGGTCTTTCGGTAAAGTCGCGTATATAGGTTCAAAGAAAATAACAAATAAAAAAACTACGACGTTAAGATCGCAACACAAGCAATCGTCATCAGGAAGAAAAAATAGCATCACTTCACGATGCTGTTACGTAAAAGTGCGGCGGCTTTTCCACCACGTTGCTTAATCGTGCATCGCTAATCTTGTTTCGGGGTTTTCGTTAATTAAAATCATTGCTTATTGACTCTGCATGAGGCATGCATGCCTCTGTTGTACTCTTGCTTATTGTTATGTTGTTGTCTTGGATGCCCGTGGGATTTCGCCGACAAATTGATGCAATCTCGCAGTGGAAATTACTGCCCCAATAAAACACGACGTGTCGTCATTTTAAAGGGCCGTTGTCTGTACGAGTGTGCCTTGGTTATGGAAGAGGGTCTTGGCTATGGAAGAGGGTCTTGGTTATGTTAGAGGGTCTTGGCTATAGAAGAGGTGTCTTGGCTATGGAAGAGGGTATTGGCTATAGAAGAGGGTCTTGGCTATAGAAGAGGGTCTTGGCTATGAAAGAGGGTCTTGGCTATGGAAGATGGTCTTGGCTATGGAAGAGGGTCTTGGCTATGGAAGAGGGTCTTGGCTATGAAAGAGGGTCTTGGCTATGAAAGAGGGTCTTGGATATGGAAGAGGTGTCTTTGCTATGGAAGAGGGTCTTGGCTATGAAAGAGGGTCTTGGCTATGGAAGAGGGTCTTGGCTATGGAAGAGGGTCTTGGCTATGGAAGACGGTCTTGGCTATGGAAGAGGGTCTTGGCTATGAAAGAGGGTCTTGGATATGGAAGAGGTGTCTTTGCTATGGAAGAGGGTCTTAGCTATGGAAGAGGGTCTTGGCTATGGAAGAGGGTCTTGGCTATGGAAGAGGGTCTTGGCTATGGAAGAGGGTCTTGGCTATGGAAGAGGGTCTTGGCTATGAAAGAGGGTCTTGGATATGAAAGAGGGTCTTGGATATGGAAGAGGTGTCTTTGCTATGGAAGAGGGTCTTGGCTATGAAAGAGGGTCTTGGCTATGGAAGAGGGTCTTGGCTATGGAAGAGGGTCTTGGCTATGGAAGAGGGTCTTGGCTATGGAAGACGGTCTTGGCTATGGAAGAGGGTCTTGGCTATGGAAGAGGGTCTTGGCTATGAAAGAGGGTCTTGGATATGGAAGAGGTGTCTTTGCTATGGAAGAGGGTCTTAGCTATGGAAGAGGGTCTTGGCTATGGAAGAGGGTCTTGGCTATGGAAGAGGGTCTTGGCTATGGAAGAGGGTCTTGGCTATGGAAGACGGTCTTGGCACAAACACGCGGCACCGAGGTGATTACACCCGGGATGGCTTCGGAAAGTCAACTGTAAACAAGGGTCATTGAGTGGGGTTTTGAAGGCTTTATGAAACAATTCAAATCTGTATTAGTAGTGTTTGTTGTTGCCACCGAAGTTGTTAAGGAAAGACTTAAATTGTTTAATGAAGCCCCGTTGTTTATCAGTTACCAGACCCTCCTGAGTGTAATCACCTTGAACTACTTGGACGAAAGAACAGTAGACAACACGTAGCTCAATGCACTTGGACAATGGAAGAAAATGTCAGCGTGTCGGAGTGCATCAGACACCTTGATGTTGTATGAGCAATTCCCACATCAAGAAAGGTGGACAATTTATGTATAAGTGACTTTTCGTCCTACTTTGTTGACACACAATGCTTAAATAAATCTTCACTGCGTGATTGTACTCATGATTACCCCATATTCACCGAAGTGTCTGAAATGCACACTAAATATTGTGGAACGTCATGCATGCAAATGTATGTTTAGCAGGTTTTTTTGCTGTACTATCACTGGAGATGTGATTGTGGAAATCAGTGTAGTATTGTTACGTATGTACCACTGCGGCTGTGGTCTGATTGACCTTCATATTGAAATGGGAATTGGAGTTAGCCTCTTGAGAAATTAATCGAGATACAGTACCTAACACCCACGTGCTATGCCTATACCTCACCAATCCCCACTGCCCTGAAGTCGAATCTCACCTGACCATTACAATTTCCCTACCCTAAACGCTCATTCTTAAAAATGTAACAATTGATGAAAACCGTTTTATTATTATCTTCATACATGCATTGAATCACTCGTCACATTTATTACGTCTGTAAATTATATGCATATGTTACTCAAAGGATAGCAAATAATGAGACAAGCTAGGTAACAATGCATTATTTCATAAAATAGTGCCTTCTAATCGTCAGAGTTTGTTGAATTTATGGAGGGGTAAATGTTATATACATATCAAATATAACTTTATATTCCTACACCTAACCCTCCCAGGGACTGTTTCCAAGGACCAACCTTATTAGGAAAGAGTGTGCCCTCTCCAGTGCATGGTTATATGAGACTAAAGTTAACTTAAAATGTGCCCCAAGTTATTTTTTGTTGGTGGGGAAGAACCTCTCTTTTTGTTTAATTAAATAAATTAAAATAGCCCCAACTTTGAGGTGATTTCAGAGGTGATGGTGCTGAGCTGCCACAACTGAGATCCTGGTTTCTAATTTTTAAGCAGTTCTGTGACATCTCCATCTGCAGATCATTCGCCCACCATGGAGTGATGCACTGCTTCAAAAAGCTAAACTTAAGAGAGAAGGACAAATGCTTAGTACTTTGTGTAGAGGGGGCAGAAGGTCGGCGCTGTACGTGCATACATGCTAATCTTCATGCGTGCGCTCGCCTTGCTCTATCGTCCAGGTGTTCACGGTGGAGGAGATGATGCCGCATGTAAGTCACCTGCTTGGCGCCCACACCAAGAACCTGTTCCTGCGAGACAAGAAGCGCGGTGGCCTGTGGCTCGTCACGGCCCTGCACGACCGCTCCCTGCCACTCGGCGCGCTCTCAAAGCGCCTGGGGCTCGGCTCGGGGTCACTGAGGTTCACCGACGAGCCGGCCATGCGCGAGGCGCTGGGCGTCGGGTCCGGCTGCGCCACCGCGCTGGCGCTGTATCGCGACTCGGCCGACTTCAACGCCCCCGGCGAGCCCGGCAGCCGCCCGAAAGTAACTCTCGTGCTGGACGCCGAGATCGCGTCCGAGCAGGGTCCGTACGAGCGAGTTTACTGCCACCCGATGAGCAACGCGGCCACGCTCGGCATGCGGACGCGGGACTTCATGCGCTTCGTGCGAGCGACGGGTCACGAGCCGGTGCTTGTCGATTTTTCGGACCTCAAGTGACCGATTGCATATTTGCGTTTTGTTGTTAAATCACGGTTGCTGAGCACAGGCCCCAATATATGCCGAGCGGTCGGCAAGAAAACTTTACTGTTGAGGTTGTTAATGGATAGAAATGAATGCATTTCTTGAATTGAGCAAAGCATGTAAAATGTGGGAAAAGGGACGACTGGAGGGATTTTTTGAGTCGAGCAGTGTTAGGATTGAAGCCGAAAGAGGTTTTTATTTTTACCTTCAGTATGGTGGTTGAACGCAGCTTGCATGAGACTAAACTGTTTGTTTAGTAGACCGTATGAAATTTTATAAACAATTTAAAATCCATGTGAATGTTTTAGACGTTGACATAGAGCATGGTAATGGATTTGTTTTTATATATATTGAGACAGGTACAAGCTGCATGTATTCATAAAAGTGCCGACAGAGGGCAGACTTGAGCTTTCTTTTATGCGATTCTTCCTACCAAAATAAAGAGGGTCCCGTAAGAGGCACGTGTCCTTTATAACAGACGTTTTAATATAAAAAAAATGATCTTGACTTTTATTAAATCGTTTCTTTTCCTGCATTTAACTTTTTGGATAATTTGTGTTCATTTGTTTGTACAAATATGGCCGCTAAAATATAAAGATAATCGTTTTACCATGGAATGTAAAGCCATATATAATTGTGTAATTGTGATTTTCGTTACCTGTACGTGTGTGGTGACCTTAAAAAATATGTGAGCACTCTCTTCAATCACCCTAAGTGTGTGTTGGGCAGTGCACAGCAGGCAGCCAAAACACATCATTCTCACACTGATTGTATCACAATTGGTAGAAATAGTACATCTCGCTCGCATCAGTCCAACAATACCAATTTATGACCATGTGTCTGTCACAAAGCAAGCAATCTTATACGGTCTCTGCATCATCATTTTTGCAAACACTGCCCCCCCCCCCCGCATGCCATCACCTCCCTAGGGACAATGATTCAGGTCACGAGTGATGAGTGAATTCAATGGGAAATATGAAAACATGACAGCAGTGCCATTCTTTAACATATTTTCTGCAGCTTTGTGTCAGCTGTCTACATAGGACAGCAATAATTAATCATCTTCAACTAAGTTGAATAACACATGCTATATTAATACAATGACACCATTGCGACAAATACTTCCTTTTTACCACTGCTTGGCCAGATACAAGGTGTTATATGATACAAAAATCAATTGATAGGCCACTATATCATAAAAATATATATATGCTCACCGTAGTGTTTTTAAGTGCCGTACATATTTCACGAATAATTATAATCATTTTCATTGTGAAATGCGACGCGGAGTTCCATCGCCTTTGGTGTAAATGCTGCCACGGTTTCAGATCATTGATGACCCCACGTGATTGTGGCCAATTTGCAGGGGGAAGCCTAACACCGATGTTTGGGCGAACTCGTAAACATGCGGGTTAGTACAGCCTCTCCTCGGCAGTTTGACGATTCAACCACATAATAAACGATCTTGTTAAAAAAAACATCAGCAAGCCGGCTGCTGATGTTGGGAGTCCGTGACCACACATACAGATGAGCGAGTGGAAAATCCTCTTTGATGGCATTGATCGTGATGTATAACCAATTGGCTGGAGTTGTGAAGTGGCCAGCGGGGGACCCAGAGTTTTATGGGAGCTGGGTTTTAGGTGCACTAACTGCTGCTCAGGTTCCCCAAAAATAATGATAGACACGGCACTGTGGTGCAGATAGGGGAAAATCACTGCTCAATCCGTCATGTGCACCAGCCTGCCACCGATTAGAAAAACCCATCAGGGCACTGTCGTTGTGATGGGCATCAATTTGTACTTTTTATTCTTCATATAAAACCTCTGTCCTCACTCAGGCCAGGCGACGTGCCCTGCCAAGCTGTTATCGCCATGTGAAAACATTTCAGGATTTTTTGTTTAAATTTTTGGTGAAGCACCGGATTTAAAAATTTCACTCTAGAAACCAACGTGACTCACTATTTTGATGGCAAAATTCTTGATTCTCGTGGCATGAATTTAAGAAACTTGGACATGCAACCACGTTAGTGTGATCATGCGGATTATTAAAAATATTCTTGAGGTCATTGGGGTACATGCTTTAATATATAAAAGATGACAATGGTTAATTAAAATATTCTGAACTTTTACAATGTTTGGTGAATAGAAGTGTGAACAAAATGTGACACCAAAGCTACCGTGAAGTTTTTAAAGGACTATACCTGGGAAACAGGTGTGTCTTAACACATTTTAGCTAGTACTTAATATATAACTGTTTTACACATTACTGAAAAAATATATATGCAAGGCACGTGATTTGACAGGACAAATGGGCTCGTGGGATTTGCCCCATAATATTAAAGTATTTTCATATGTTTTTGTCTCCCTTTGTCCTTCCATTTTATGTACCCTAGAAACGAATTTCTCGCATGCTTCTATTTGAAAGATATAACCAAAATGAGAACTCTTAAATTCGTGCAAACCGACGTGGCAATAATGTAATTGGAGCTCCTCAAAGGCAGTTTGACTTTGCAGAGTCCACAGATACAGGATAATGAACAGTGATTTGTCGTGCTATACAGTTGTTGGGCTGTGCCCAAATAAGCTAAATATAATTAACAAAAGAACGTCATTGGTAACTGCATTATAATTAATGTGTCACTCTTTGCATAAAATTGTTAAAATTTCCACTAAAGCATATAATTGTGTTTTTTGGAAAATCCGTCACTGAACAATCCAGCATCACATTGTCCAAGTGTCTAGTGGTGATTGAGATAAGGGAGCAGTTGATGGTGGAACTTCTCACCTATTGAAATAAAAATGGACTAAATTGGCAAATATAAAACAAAGTGTATGTTGATATAACATGTTAATATAATCAAACATTTTTTTACGGCAAATGCAGTATCCAGATTTCTCAGTGTTCTTTAGGTAGCGAATTGTAAAACTTTTTGCAAACACAAGTCACACAAAAAGTTATTGCATATTTTATTGGTCTCGAGGGGACCATTGCTAAAAGCATATTCTCTTTCGGCAGTGTGCATGGTAAAAGTAGAGAGGGTTTTTTTTTAAATATATACAGAGGTTTTTTTTGGGTTAGATCGCATAAATATATAAATGTGTCGTTAAAACCCACCACAACCCGACACAGCAAACTAGTAAGGGTTGTCGGAACGTGGCCAATTCGTCGCTAGTACAGCACACCGGTGTGTTGGAGCGCTAAGACACAACATTGCAATTTGAGTACGGCGTTTTGGCAGTAATTACAACTAGCTCCATCAGGCGACAACCAGATTTGTGGAGAAATCCACCTGTTTAGTTACTTATATAGAGGCGTATATTTGGTGACCACACTTCTGCGGTCTTGCGCAAAACTAGGTGGGGGGGGGATTAATGAGCATACGCACATTATGCATGCACATTATGCGAGCCCTTTGAACTTGTCCTTCCTGTCCATTGTGTGTATACAAATAGCCGTACCCACGGTAATCCCTATTGAAGTATGCTGCCCTTTGTAGGCATGCATTTAAACCATGTATTATTTGATGATTCGCTTCCACGCAGCACTAAGTCGGTAGCTATCTGAACGGTTAAAATAATTATTTCTTTCAATTTAGATAGATTCTCTAATTAGTCTTGGTTAGTAGTAGCTAGTTTTGCACAGAACTTCAACTATCAAGATAAATTGAGTTTCCTTGTTGGCACGCGTGTTCTGCTACTGCTGACAGTTGTATTTGGGAGTATTTAATATATCTCTGATGTTCTTTTAGTCTCGTGCTGATCATTCATCCTGTTTGCCCAACATAACATTTGCCACAAGTGCAGTTAATCCTGTACACACCTTCTGTTGATAGCTTCGGTAATACATCTTTTGTACCAAATATTAATTTCTGTATTTTATGTACCGTGCCAAATCTGACTCGGATGTTTGTTTTTACAAACATCTGGCTAGTTTATCAGTTACTCCCGCAATGTACGGTATTTTGATCATTTTAATTACTTGGGCAGTTTCAATGCTCGTGTTATTTGATTTGGTTTTGGCATTCAATGCCCTGTTCATTTGTGCATCATTGAAACCGTTCATTTGCAGCGCTTCTTTAACATGTTGAATTTCACTTTTCAGACTCACTATCTGACACTTTCTTAGCTCGATGAATGAGCGTCTTTATAAGAACAGATTTCTGTGCGGGGTAATGGTGTGACTGCATTCAGATAGGCGTCAGTATGCGTTTTCTTTTGGTAAACGCTGTGTTATTTTACCATTTAGACCCCGTCCAAGCAGAATATCCAGAAATGGTGGAGTTCTGTCAGTTTCCACTTCCATGGTGAACTGGATGGATGGGTTTTGCGAGTTGAGATGATTTAGAAATTCGTTAAGTGTATCTTTGTCGTGTGGCCAAACCACCAATGTGTCATCCACATATCCAAACCAAGCATATGGTTTTAGTGTGTTTGAAGCTATTGCTTTTGTTTCAAACTCTTCCATGTACAAATTCGCTATGACAGGAGACAAAGGAGAGCCCATTGCCGTTCCTTTTGTTTACAGAAGTCACCTTTCCACGAGAAGTAGGTGTTCTTTAGACAGTGTTCAGCTGGTCTTGGGATATCTTTGGCTAAACCTTTGTTCGTTACCAGAGTGTCGAGTAATTTAATTTACTCGTTGACCGGAACCCTCGTGAACAGAGAAGTCACTTCTAAACTTACGAGAATATCATTAGGTTTAAGCTTACTATCTTTAATTATTTAGTTTTTGATGAACGAAGAGGTCCTACCGATGTAGGGCTGTATTTGTTGCGTTACGTATTGTGCTGATTTGTATGTGGCAGAGCCTATTGTACTATGGGTCTTAATGGGACATCAGGTTTGTGATTTTTTGCTCGCCCATAAAGGCTTGGTGGTTTTGATGCCTTGGTTTGATCAGGTATTGCTCTTCCTTGGGAATTGATGACTTGGCAATGATTGCCTTGTTGTTTTACATTCCAACGTGCTGGTTGGGTCTTGTTTAATTTTAAGGTAGGTACCTTCATCGAGTAAATCTTTGATTTTATTATCGTAGTCCTCACAGGGCATCACAGCAGTTTTTTAATAGTATATCTTTAAGCGTGACTTTTACTTCTAAGCTGGATTTTACGGCGACTTTGGCACTCGTTTGATACTGTGCCCGTGTCTGCATAGCTTTATTTTTGTCAACAAGTTAGCAATGGTATGCAATCCTGACTCTCTGCCTTATCCAATAATCCACCTTTATGGCAGTGAGGCAGTTTTCACGAAACTGTTTTCTCCAATTTATGATTTTGCTTGATTGGCAGGTAAGGTTACGTCCTCGCATAAAGTTGCATTTTGGAACGTAGAAAATGTCTTAAACATTTTTTCGTGTTTGCCCATCCTAATATTTGTTATACTTGAGTTAGAACTAGACTAAGGACAAATAGACATCTTTAAATAAATCAGTAGTAGTGTGATGGCGACTATGAAGGATGTTTCACAGATGTGTCCAGCGCATCCCAGGTTTCCTATCGATGACAAAGACATTGCTTAGACAATAACGATAACCGCGACTTTATTTGCACAGTGGTGGCATCGTATTACCCGCATTTATCCACGCATGCATGGCACGATGCTTCGAGAGAGCTGTTCTTAAGATCACGTGCGCAATGAGATGTATGGTTCCCTAAGATGAATTCAAGTATAAAAAAGCACTTGCCATTTGGAGACACAAACAAAGAGGCCCTGGAGGTTTGCTGCCCCCACAGGCATTCCCATCGTTTCGCCTCTCCCATTTATCTTCTTTCACCCCTCTCCATCTCTCATCATAGCTTTTCTGCAAAAAGACCACACGCCAACATACGCGCAAGACTTATTTTAGCTCTACCGTTTATTATTTTAAAGCATCGCTTGGCCTTGATGCTTAACGAAGATAGACTGGCATGGGTGACGACGCAGCCACCTGTGTTATGTGGACACAAGTGTTGCCGCGAAATGTTTCTTGAATCTGTTGGTCAGAAATATTTGTAATTTCTTGTTTTATCAAAACGAAGTGTTTTTTTTTTTTAATACAGATTTACTTGTAAGAATACGTGAACACGTTTGAACAAACACTTTATTCTACAGTGTTTCATGGATCTGGACATTTTCATTTGCTTCAAATGATGACAAACACATCAATCCATGTGGCTTTTAAAAGAAGAATGAGAGGAAGTCTCATTTATCATTCTGTATGGACCAGTTTGCTTTCATGATACTTTCTGGAGAGTGCTGTGTACCTTCCCAAGCAACATAAAGAACGTATATGAATAGGTTTTACCCCTTCTGGCACGTTCTGTTTACGTGACAACCCTTGCTAGTTGGCTGTGTCGGGTGGTGGCGGGTTTTAACGACCCTAATTTACGCGATCAAACCCCCCAAAATACCCCTCTATTATGGATGATATTGGTCGCGAAAGTCTCCTACGTGTCATACCAGAGCCTATTTTTGTTTGCATGTTCACCACAAGTTTGTGTGGTTAATGCAGACATTACTCCTTGCAAAAGGTTTCTGTTTGGTGTTTGGACATCTGAACACAACTGTTTTATTGCCAGAAAGGGTAAAACCTATTCTAATACTTTTATACTTGCAAGAAAGGTCCCCGTGTTGTAACATAACGAACGGTGCTCAATAGCACTGGGTAAATTTATTACTTACAATGGTTTGATTAAATACAAGATATTTTAGTGGGAAGAACACTAAAGCCCCGTGCACTATTTTGATGGAGAGAAGATAGATTTGAGATTTTACCAAAGAGATATGCCCTACAGGTTAAATGACAATAACAGTTCCCCCCCTTTCCTCCTTGCAATAGGCACATTATAGACCGCCTGAAGTGCAGCCATTCCAGCAGAATGTGCGTACAAAAGTCATGCCAACTGCATGCGCCCACAGATAAAGCCTAAAAAGAGCTGCAATTTGCCCAAAGAGAGAGAGAGCAGCGGATAAACTATTTTCTTTCCTCCCAAAAACAATCATGAGCCACCCTTTGCCCAATACGAAAAGGGTACTCTAGCAATCCAATGTGTTTTCGGGTTGTACCGTGTGCTGTTTAGTATGATCAACGACGTTTCGCTGCACATGATGCTGGGAGCTTCTTTGGAAATAAATTCAGAAACTGGCATGGAGGTTTCTCTCCATGCGCTGGCGACTACTTCAGAATTTAATTCAGAACGTCCCAGTACGTGGATCAAAACGTTCTGGAGTCGTCCAGAGCAAACACCGAATTGTACACCGGAGAGCTGTAGTACAGCGCAACCGCAAACACTCATGCAAAATATTCTCTCTTCCTCGACGCTATTTGAAATGGAAACACATCTGCAGAGAGAGAGAGTGCGTGCGTGCCACAGGGT